ATTTAATATTATTTGTTACCATTATTTTTCAACATTTTTAACACATATATTATTTTAAGTTTTAATAAATAATTAATAGTAAAAAGTAAATTTATCTCTAAGTTTTCATTTTAATTATTTAATAAAATTTTAATTTAAGTAAAAAAACAGATATAATAGTAAATATTAGATAATTTTACTTTAATAATTATAGCTATTTACTAATTTTCCATTTATAAAAATTATTTATAGATATAAAAAATTAGTTGCATACATTAAGTAATCAAAAATTTATTAAAAAGTTAAGTTAGTTATATCTTTTATTAAAGTTTATACTAAAATACAAGTTCAATTATAATTGTTAGTTATCATAAATAAAAATAATACCATATTATATCAATTTATTTTATAGGTATTATTTGGAATTATCATATTATAAAATCTAATTCAAAGTTGAACTTGCTGTAGTGACACTCATAAAATACTTTTAAATAAAAATTTTTTAATTATATGAATTTTAATCATCCAAGCTGAATTTTTCTTTTACAGATCATACAATTTTATAGCATATTTTCTGCATCATCTTTTTCTTTTATTTACTCATATTTTCTATTTATTAAATTGTATTATATAAATTTTTTCTATAATTATAGATATCTGGTATTTCTTACTTAATAATCTATATATAATTTATGCTTTTATAGTTAGAATAGCAGTAAGATATTCTAATATATTATCCTTTATTTCTTCTAAAAAATGATGAAATTGAACTTTATAAATCATAATATTTAGATTTAATGAATAGTTGTGTACATCAATTATGGTAGAAATTTTTATAATTTGAATGAGTTACATTTACATGCCACTAATACTAATTGATTCAGAATTTCTTTGATGATGTTTTTCAGAATCATTATTTTTTCATGGTTGATATTAAGCTACTTTAATACATTTATAGATACATTTACATATAATATTATTGCTATTATATCAACTCTATAAAATTCAAAACCTTTTTATTTACAATATTGTATTAAATGTTTTCTACTTCTTCAAAGATTTCAAATGTTTGTCTTTTTAAAAGTATTAAGTTAGTATCATTTTCTTCATTTGTAAAATCATAATTATATTAGATGTCTTGTCATTTGTATTCAAATTTTCATAAAAAATTGTTCAAAGATTCTTTATAAAGATGATTGTAAAATTTAACAGTAAATGAAGGTAAAAATTCTGGAATATCCATTATTAGATAAAGAAATTTTATTGCAAATGGTTATAAGAAAGAAAAAAAAAAGAGGTTGGAGGAAAAAAAATTATATAATATAAGAGTCTATTATAATTCACATTTTATCAGTAATATTAATTCAATTCTGGTGAATAAAAATCAAATTTTAAAAATTTATAACTTTTATTAGTAGTAAAGTGATTTAATCATATGAATTTATTAAAATTACAAATTTTTAGCTTATAAGTAACGTTAGATTTTTTATTATATAATTAAAAAATAAAAATTACTATGATATAATATATATTTATTAATTTATTTACAATTTAATTTTCATAAAAGTAAATCAGAAGGGTATTTATAGTAAATTTGCAGGCAAATTTGCCTGCGAACCCTACAATCTAAGGGATAATTTAATACTTTATTTATGATTGATATATTTTATACTTTCAATATCACGTATAATAGCATACGTGCTACGTATGAATAATTACAAAAGTTAGTTGAAATTGGCCCATGTTAATATTAACCGGTAAAAATATTCTAATGATCTATAAATCATTGTCACGATTAATCATTCATTTCTAGATACAACGCGATTCTTAATCGACAATGAAAAAATAACGCGTCATTTCTATGTATAATTTTAATATGCTTACCGTTCAGCCCTCAATGAACTCCTTTCGTAGTACATATCTTGTTTACGAAACTTATCTATTATTTTTGAATGAATAACGAAATAATTATACGAATTTTCGCATAACCATTGAATGCAAGATCAAAGAATAAAAAGGATCAAAATACTTACATGATGGAATTGTGACTCAGTGGAAGGAACTGAGTAAATCGCAAATTCATTATCAGACAGGCTTTCCATATACCATTTACTAGTAAGCAGTGAAAATTATTACCTTTCGCCTGTATTTCTTTGTCCAAATCAGAAATGATCTGGTGATACCTCTAAAAATATTATTATGTAAATATTAACTTTATGATTTAACTAGTATTTTATAAACATGAATGGGAATTAAGTGATTTCGCTTACTAATTCACACTCCCGAATCACCTCATTCCAATAATTTTCTAAATTTTCTACATATCGTAAACGTTCCGATTTGATCAGCTTTAGAAAAAGTCGTTATTAGTACGATTTTTTACTTTCGTAGTAAAGGAAGGTATATGGCTAATTCCCATCTAATTAGCAGACTTTAAAAACGACAAAGTAAGGATGCCAACCTGAGCAGTATCAACCTGAGTAGTGTCAACCCGAGTAGTAGTAAATACCTGACTAACCTAAGTAGTATTATAAAATAAGTTTACAACAATAATTAATTAAAGACAAGATTAAAAGTTGAATAGAGAACTTGGAGTGATTACCAAATTGTCATATTCAGTAATCTCCTGAGCCAAGGCGCATGTTGCGGTTCAACTAGAAGTTACCCATTCTTTGCAAAATAAAAATACGCACCTTGTTTTTTAAACTTATATCTTGATTTTTTAGAACCTCTTGCGCTTCCCTTATAAAAATTTTCGCCCAAGAATTATCGATGTCTTTTAGTTCAAAACCGTTAAAGTTAGCGACGAAATAACTATGGTTTGTTGACACCGAAGTAAACCCATAAAAGACATTTTCGTTCTTTAAATATGAAATGAACTCACTTATGGGTAATATATATGATTGAACGGTAGACATTTTAATAATTGTATTATGACAGAAAAGAAAGCGTGTGAAATACATAATTAACCCAAAAGATAATTAGCTAAAGATAATGTGTAGTTGACCAATCAAACCAAAGAAAATTTTGTTAATTTTATACCATTAGTAAATTAAATTTATATTATACAAAGATTTATCTTTTTCATTTATTTATAATAATGAAGAGTCATTTTTGTAATTTCATTAATTTTAATATGATAAATCGTAAAAAAATACGTAAAAAATCATAATTCTCTTAAAATTTTTCTGCCAAAAAACTGATTGATGCAAAACTTTTATATAATATATATAATAATTTTATAACATATTTATAATTTCAAAAAGCTAAAATCGAAATATCCAAAAAAAAGATACAAAATCTACGTGTAAATAATAATGAAGATGAGTCTTAAATACTAATATAATGATTAACATTGTAATGATCTTGGCAAAACAGATAATTAAATTGGAATAATTTATTTTTATTCTAAGGCCATATCTCTCTTAATCATAGCAATAGCGCGACCTGGATTTAAACCTTTTGGACAAGTTCTTGTACAATTCATAATAGTATGACAGCGATAAACCGAAAAAGGATTTTGTAGAGCTTCTCTACGTTCATGGCCATAATCATCTCGAGAATCCACCATCCATCTATAAGCTTGTAATAATACAGCCGGTCCAAGATATTCATCTGCATTCCACCAATAACTCGGACAAGATGTAGAACAACAAGCACAAAGAATACATTCATAAAGACCATCTAATTTTTTACGATCAGCAATGGTTTGAAGATTTTCGCGATCTCCCTCTTTTGGAGGACTTTTTTTCTTGAGATACGGTTCAATGGATTTGTATTGTTTATAAAAATGAGTGAGATCTGGTACAAGATCCTTGACGACATACACTAAAAAAAAGAAAATCAATTAATTTGAAAAAATTTTTATCAAATAAATTTAAAAGAAAACTTACTATGAGGCAATGGATAAATTTTAGTGTCTGAGCCGCTAACGTCAATTCTGCAAAGACATGCCAAGGTGTTAACACCATTAATATTCATGGCGCAAGATCCGCAAATACCTTCACGACAAGAACGACGGAAAGTCAGAGTGGCATCTTGTTCATTTTTGATCTTGATTAAAGCATCAAGAACCATAGGTCCACATGCATTAAGATCAACTTTATATTGCTGCAATTTAGGTTTCTCGGTGGGTTTATCTGGGTTCTATTTAAAAAACCATACAATCAATCTTTCAATTGATTAATTATATTATAAATAGTTTTAGTTAAAAGTAACTGACCCAACGATAAATCGAGAAAGTTTTAAATTTGGATTCCTTTATTTGGATTGGTTCCCCAGTTAACGAAGGTGTATTCTAGTAATATTGAGTTTGAGATTAATTAAAAAATGAATTGAAATAATAATGAATAAAGAATAAGGTACCTGTAACTCAGCTTGGTGAGAGGAGGATGTTTTCAGGGAACGGGCAATGCACAAGGAAGCCTGAAATTAAAATTTAGGAATCAGAAAGAATTTTATAATATATCAATTAATAGGTAAAAACATACAGCATTAATATTAATTTTAACCGATCGTGTTTTAGTAAGAGAGAAAACTCTTGAAAGTGTAAGCCAGCTCATCCTGTAGAATAAAAAAAAAAAAAAAAAAAAGGAAAAAAGAAAAAAATCTAGAAAAGGTTTCTTCATCTCAATCAACAGAATAATCGAGACATCTTTATCACACTACAGGCATTGCCCACATTTTTTCCGCAAAACATGAAATTAGTCAGCAATTCTACCGATCTATTTTTATTGTAAAATCATCAAACATAAAATATAATCTCGTGTATAATGAATGTTACAAAATATAAATATGTCTTTATATATATTTCGACAAAAATATTTCATTAGTGAAAACTTACAATATACCAACATTAATGCTACAAATCATATTAAATACATGAAATAAAATAATACTGTTTATCCACAATAAAAAAGTTTAAAAAATTCGCAAATAATAACAAATATAAATCTAATTACAACTAAACGAATTAACTTTGAGGGAAAAAGAAAGTTCGCAAGCAGCTTAAAAAAACGCGTTCAATCACCATATTTTTCTGCCATTACCGATGTTCCCACGTCTTCATTTGGTTCCATTAAACTAAATTAAATATTGAAATAAACTAAGAATACTAATAATTATCCAACAAAAAGATTTCGAGATGCTGTAAATAGTTACCTGTATTGTTTAAGCAACACACATTCACCTCCATTCTCCAAGTCAATATTATATTGATAGAAATATCCTTCAGAAGTGACCACCATGACTTGAGGAGTGGTACTAAAGAAAAGAATTTTAAGCCATCAAAAAAAAGATTTTTTTTTTTTTTGTTCAATTTGTTTCTATCATAATAAACGGGACTCACTTGCTTAATGCCACAACACTTTGAACACCCGAACTAGGTAATTTTAGATATGCAAAATCACGTGTTGGTTCCCACATTTCGGTTAGAGCATCCGGAAGATAATTACCCACGCTACCAGCAACAGTACGACCAAGATGAAGAGATTGGCGACGTATAACGCTTTATTTCGCCAAATTTGTAGAGGGGATTTCGCAAATAATTCAATCATTAAATAAGTTTTTTTTTTTTTAAAAAAAAAAGTTTTTTCTAATTCAAACTGGAATATTGAAAGTCCTACCCTTTTCCAGTTTTTTTCTTTTCATCAATGAAGGCCTCAAATCCGCCTATTGTTGTTGGGCCAGTAGAATGGCGCGACGCACTTGCAACTCCTCCCGTACTGTTAGCAGTGCCGTTGTTTGCACCCGCGTTTCCTCCTGGACCAACTGCATTTCCACCTAATTTGAAAACATGAACTGTTTCCGTATCACTTGAAACACACAATAATGTGCTGACAAGGTTAAAGGAGATCGAATGGATGCGTGCAGGATAAGATCCCCTTCGAAATTGATACAGCTTGACCGCATTTGGGATAGAGAACACGCGAATAACAGTACCCTAAACAATTTTATAACGAATTAATTTTAATCAAAATTAAAAATACAATTATTTCTTACCTTATCACTAGCTGTTGCCAATAAAGTTCCTTCGGAATTGATGGCTACATAAGCAACTGGACTTTTATGAGCCTGAACGATGTTTACGACTTGTAATGATAAAGCGTCGAAAATCAAAACATCACCAGATGATGAAGTATGTTGTGTGCCATGACTTGAAAAGGGAGATGAGGGAGAAGGTGTAGGAGAAGGGTAGGCTATATAACAATTTTCATTTGAAGGAGAAAGGGCACAAATAGCTATTTGCATAAAAGAATTTTTTTTTTTTTTTTTTTTTTTTTTTAGTTATCATAATGATTTTAAAGCAAAAGCATAAAGGTGTTAAAACCTTGATTACCAGATGGATTGGGGCTAGTATCAATAGTATGCAATAATTTCATATTGCTAATATCATAAACAAAAATAGTTTGTTCCAAAACGACTATCAACCTACGACGGTTTAATTTCACTGCAAGGATTGACGTTTGGAAGGTGAGTTCGCATATTGTTGACTGACGCTTTATCATCATTAAAAGAAAGGAAAATTAATTAAAATATTAATAAACGCAATTAAAAATACGAATCAAATTATTAAATCACAAACCTTTGTATTTGTAATTTGTAACCGTCGTGGTGAAAATGAAGGATGTTCACCTGCTCCTACCAAAGCAACCAGTGATGTACAAAAAAGCATTTCCACAATACCAATACCACCATCAGCTATATAAATGACAACGCGTATAGATATCAGAATCGTGTAAATAAAGCATAAATGATTTATTATTATAATTATCGTTTAAAATAACATATTTTGACTATTTTAATTACTTGTATACTATTATAATAAATTAATAAACAAAAATATTCGCGTTTAATCCATTTTCCATTGAACAAATTAACTCGAACAATAAGAGGCTTCTCTAATTATAAATAATAAATTCTTGAATCGACCCAAGCTTACATTTTGAGTAGCATTTTCCAAACGGATCGCAATTATATATCTTATAACCATGTTGAGTTCCAACTGAGATACAGCTTTAATAAATTAAAAATATCAAGCGTTATTAAAAAAATTAAAAGAAAGAATTCAGATCTTCTCTATATATCATCCATTAAGCCTTTAACAAGCAATTTCTAAACTATACAGTGGTAAGTTTAGAAACAGTAAACCACTGCTTATGGAATGGAATAGGACAAAGATAAAATAAAATCCTTAAAGAGCAATGTAATGAAAAACGCGTCTCAAATCTCGATACTCGAACTATAATAAAAAATACATTTTCTTTTTTCTATTTTTAATTTTTATTTAAAATTTTTTTTACCTGAAATCCTGGTTGAAATTAATGAATAATAACTCATTACTGCCTTTACCACTTAGATTCATTTTATTATTTTCTTTTTTTTGTGATATATATATAAATATTGCAGAAAATACAATAATTTGCAAGCTCTTTATTAAACTGAACGGAAAACGAAGTAATCAGCGTGAGATAAAAAAAAAATTGACAATTATAACAAACGTACTCTCCTTTTCAACCACCATTCCGCAGCATAAGATCAGCAGATTACCAGAAACTCAGCCAAAAACTTGCATTGCATGTGTTTTCATAAAAAAAAACTTAATTTGTACCTCTTTTATTAAATTGAATTTTTTTTACATATATTACCATAATAATAATAATAATAATAATAATAAGAAAAAAAAACTTAAATACAAATGATGATAAAAAAAAAGAAAATACTATATTAAATTGATGAAAATGAAAAATTTATATAATATTTATTTGAAATTATTGTGTTTCAAATTGCTAAATTGTTCGCAATCATAAAGCTTATATTAAAAATGGTGAAATAAAGGTCATAGAACTCCTAATTTCTATAATTCATTGTAAAAGAGAAGTTAGAATCAAACGCAAATATACATATTTACAAAATGAGGTACCAGTCTTATATTTCAACTTTAGTAAATAAATACAAAATCATATGTTTCTTAAAACAAAAATGGTAAAACATTGTCATCCCATTCTTCACCAACCCAATCACTGAGCTCCATCATTTTAACTTCTCTTTGACTTTGTTCAATTATATGGCTAACCATAGCATCATATAACCAATCTAAGACAGAGGCCTCTTTGACAGATTCAACCATTGTATTGCTGTCCAACAAGGATGGCTGTTGAACTTCTGTCACGTCGACGCTAAGTTGTTCGTCATCCAAAGAAGGTCGAGGATTAACAGTTTCTGGTTCAAAGGATTGAAGATCAACTTCATTTGCAGGTTCTAATGCAGGGGTTTTAGAATTTGGGAAAAGTGCAGAAATCATCTGATTTATCGGTGTAGCACATACTGCCTCAATAAACAACTTCGTCATTTGCTGCATTGCAGTTGAAATTAACATATAAGCGAGCCAAAATCTTTGACCATCCATGCTTTGACTAAATTCAATCAAATTAATCATAGAAGGATATCTATATTGATAAGTATTTCGGAAATCCAAATATGATGACGCGGATTTTTCTTCGAACAAGTGTTTGTCAAGATTGAATTCAGGAATGAAAGTTGTTTGAACTCTAACACGCGAATCTTGCCATGTCTTTTTGTTTGCAGATGAAGACGAAGGTGACGCGTCTTTATTAACATTAGGAATGACAAGATAACGAGAAGTAGGCGAAGATGGTTGAGGAATAGAAGGCATAGCTCCTTTATTTTGATTAACAATGGATCGTAAAATTGTACCATTATTATTATTTGTATTTTTAGATAATGATAAATTTATATTATTATCATCCTTACTTGTTGATGATGGTGAGGGGATGTGTGGTGGTGAAGGTGGCGATGTAACAATTGATTTGGTATCCTGTTGTTTTCGCAATTTGTCAACTTCTTGTTGCAACTTTTTGTTCTCTTCTTGCAAGTGCACCAAGGCTTGCTTAAGTATATTTATTTCCTCTTGTTGTTGTTCTTTGGTAGTTTCTAAATTTTGAATATATTCTAATAACAAAAAAAATTATATAAATATAATATATTTTTAGTAAAATTTATGATTTAACGCAAGAATAACCAAGTAATAATTTTGAAAGAAACCTTTTCTTCTAACACGGAAGTTTCTAGCAGAAATTTTATTACGAATTTGACGTCGTTCTTTCGATGATAATTTTTTCAAATCTACTTGATTACTACCATCACTTTTCTGAGAATTGTTATTACTATTAACAGAATTAGTCGTAGAATTTAATGTTGGAGTCTCATTAGATTTTGGTGAAGAAGAACCAGTCGATAAGTCGGTCTTATTTGTAGTAGTTTCTTGTTTAATTGTAGGAAGTTTTGCTAACAATTCAGCCAACTGCGCATTAAGCATGGCCAAAGACGGAGCAACCGCAGTAGAAGGGACTACTTGTTGAGAAGTTTCATTGGTCTCTTCAACTATTGACATTGGAGTAAGTTTTAATTCTTCATTGACAGGAACTGGATCAGTTATTAAAGAAAACTCGTCAACAGTTTGCGTAGGTGCTGAATACGTGGTAGGAGTTTCTTCCAAAACTTCTTGGTCCTTAATCAACTCTTCTTCCAAATAATAACGGAATAGATCTGAATTTGACATGCTTCTTAAATCTACATCTTCTTCCATGGCATCGTTTCTTAGGAAGTCCATGTCGATATAGGCCTCAAAAGCGTCATCATTACCATAGAGATTGGGGTCGTTGTTTGGAAGCAAATTTCTAGACATATCCATAATTGTTCCTGGAATATGAATTTTATAAAATAAAAGGATGAAAAGTAATTTTTCTCTCTAATTTTATTGATGATTGATTTGATAATAAAACAATGTTAACTTTTAAGGAGTGAAATACAGCAAAGCAAGGTTTTTCCGGGGTTTATAAACGACAAAGAAAGTATTTATTTATTCTACTATTCAATTTATTCAAATGTGATCATTTTTTCACTTACTAAAAAATTAACGTATGGCAAATGGCCGTGTAACTAGGAGACCGGCCAATTGCACGTGCTTAAAATTATAAAAGTCCTAAAATATATATATATTTTTTTTTTTTAATATAAATCAGATGATTTACTTAAATAGACGCGTCATTGATAAACGCGTCAGAGTGGTTAGCAATGGATTTTACCGATATATTCAAACAATCCTTGTACCTTTGTCGCTTCTCTCCAAACGCAAAATATTTAGCTACAGCTTCACAATGTTATCTTGTTATACGCGAGGCTACTTCTTTGCAAATTGTGTCAATGATAACTTGGTCTGAAATTGTTCAGAATGTTATGTGGTCTCCTGATTCAGAATTAATATTAATAGCTAGTTATAAAACTGGAAAAGTTACTATATATAAATTAAATGATAAAAAATGGAGTGCGGATATCGAAGAAGGAACATTTGGACTAAAAAACGTAAAATGGGGTTCAGACGGTCGAACAGTATTATGTTTTTCCGACTTTCAGGTATTGTGGCGACATTATTTATGTTTCGAAAACACAAAATCAGTGATTTCTTAAGATTTAAAACATTATATTTCTATTAAAGTACTTTGATATTTGTTATATTAAATAATATAGCTACGAATAACAATATGGTCATTAATAACTAAAGAAGTGTGCTACATACAATATCCCAAATATTATGATAAAGGTATATTAAAACATTCATTTGTACTTATATGGACAACCAAAATAATTTAAACATATATATATATATATTATTTTTACCAAAGGATACGACTTTCGAAAAGATGGTCGTTATTTTGTTTTAGCGGAACGCCGTGATGGTAAAGATTATTTGGGAGTCTATGATTGTGATAATTCATTTAAAATGATGAAAGTAAATAATTTGTATATTATTGTCGTTTTATTAGTCATTCTATGTATTTTATTTATAATTAATTGCAATAAATTATTTAGCATTTTCAGGTGGATACGTTTGATTTGGAGAATTTGGCATGGTCTCCTGATGGACGATATATAGCGGTCTGGGATAATTGTATTCATTACAAAGTACTAATATATACACCGGACGGACGATGTCTACAATCATATTCAGCATATGAAAATGGATTAGGAGTAAAATTTGTTACATGGTCACCTTCGAGTCAATTTTTGGCTGTTGGAAGTTATGATCAAAAAATTCGATTTCTCAACAATTATACTTGGACGCTAATTATTGAATTTACACATGCTATCCAATTGAAAAATCGAGACATGGTAAGAAATCAAATTTAGTCTCCTTGCTTATAATTAAAATGATCAAATAATTTTATGTGTATATATGATTAAAATACAGAAAATATGGAAAGAAGAATTAGATAGCGTAAAGGAATCAGGAAGGACTGTTGCTCATTGTAAGTTTATGAAATCTCGGTTCTCAATAAAAACATTTAAATATTAAAATATGTTATTTACAATTCGTATAGACGTAATCTTAGAACAGTCACTTCTAGAATTACAATCACTTAGACCTGATCCAGAAAAACCAAATCCAAAAATTGGTGTTGGTGTATGCAAGTTCAATGCCACCGGAAGTTTAATAGCTTCTCGTAACGGTAATTTTTTTATTTTAATTTTTTTTTCTATCAATTATAATTCTTTTTAATCATGCCCAATATTTTTTTTACTATAATAATTAGACAATATGTCTGATTGTCTCTGGATTTGGGATATTTCGCTGATGAACCCTATAGCTTTGATCATACAATTATCGCCAATACGGCATTTTTACTGGAATCCTATGGTTCCAGAACAATTAGTAATCTGTTGTGGTAATAGAAATGTGTATTTTTGGTCTGGTCACAAAACTGGTGTTGAAATAGTCGAAGTACCTGCTGGTATGTAGCTTAAGAATTTATTTATAAAAAAAAAATTTTTTTTTATTGATATCTCTTTTTTTATTTAATCTTATAGTTAATTTTAAAGTTAACAATATTAGATGGAATCCAAATGGTAAATCTTTAGTTTTAATGGATAAAGAAATATTTACTATGCTTATCATTAACAAGTAGATCTTATTTTAAAATCTTTTTAATAAAGTATTATAAAATTAAATAAATAATACATTTTATAAAAAAATTGAGTAAGTATAAAATAAATCTATATAGAAATATCACTATATAAATAAATAAAAATATTATTAGTTTAATAATCATATTTTTTATTTAAATGAAATTAGAAATAAATATTAATTATTTTGAATATTGTTTTTTCTAAAATAAGTAAGTTTTTTTTTAAAAAAGAAAAATAAAGTAGGTTATAGTAAAAACTTATATTGAAATTTATAAATTTATAAATTTATAAATTTATTTAATTTTAAATTTAAGATCAGCAAAAAGTATCATATTAAATCTTTTTACAATAGTTGAAATGAAAAATTGAGAAAATCTTCTACTATTATTATGATTAGCATATAAAGAGAATGTTTTAAATCCTTAAAAAAAAATTACTAATATTTTTTTATAACTGAGAAATATAGTATAATCTAACTTTCAATCAAATAAACTAAAATACTTAACTGATTAAGTAGTAGCTAAGTTTAATTCAAACTCATGTTAACTTGATAAATCTTTAAAATAAAATATTATATAATAAATATAATGTATTTCTTAAGTAAAAAAAAAGAATATTACATATTTTTCTTTAATTGCATCTTAGTATTTCATAAATTAAATTTTCAAATTAGTAAATATAATAATTTTATTGACTTACAATAAACAAAATATATCTTACATAAAATAAAAATTTTATTTAAAGGTGAGACTTCTTTAAATATTATCAAATAATAATTTAAATTATTATTAATCAAATTTATATAAATGCCTGACATTTAATCATTTATTTAACTTAAAAATTTTTATAATTATTTAGGTAAATAATATAAAATTTTATTAAACCATTATTATTATTATATTTTTATAATAAAATTTATGATGTTTTCTAAGTAAAAATTCAAAAAATATATAATTAATTAGTGATATTTTAAAGATAAATATATAATAAATTGTTATGAAAAAAATTTAATTTTTAAATTTATATACCTTATTATCTATTGATCTCAAAAATATGAAAATATAATTATTTAATAGGTCTTAATAAAATAAATTCAACAAATTAAATTTTATGCTTTTGTAATTATTTTTTAAAACACGATGATGCAATATTTTATTATAAAAAATCAAATTCATTATAAAATACATGAAAATCTCAAAATAGGTACAATAGTAGAAAAATAAAAATTGCTGTCTAATATTCTTCACTAGAAAACTAACTCTCAATAGACCAACCAATTATCCTGTTTGATATTAATTATAAAGATTCACTGAACAATCATCAATATCAAACTGAATGAACAGAAATATTAGAACAATTGATTAACACTAGTTTAAGAAGAGGGATCAATGTCAACTATATTTGTAAAAATTATTAATTAGAGTAAAATAATTTAAACTATCTGTATTATCAACAAATTATGTGTTAGAGAAACTATTAATAAAAAAATTAATATTGGATGAAGTAAAATTACATTTCTTTAGTCATTTAGTTATATGTAGAGATCTTTCTTTAACCAAAGTTAAATCACATCAAATTTTCTATATATTATTATAAGCTTGATCGAAAATAAAATCAAAAAAAGAAAAAAAAACAAATGAAGTTATAAAGAATAATTTGTTAAATATTATTAAGGTTGATAATAAAATAGCAGGAATAATGCCTTTAATAATATCAATAAAAGAGAAATCATGTGAATTCACTTATAGTAATCATATTAAATGTGATAGATTTAAAAGATTATTAATATTGTTACGCCAGTTCTTTAAATTGTTGGCTCAGGTATGACCGTCCCATATAAGGAAAATGGTTACACAATTTATTAAAATTTTTTTTTATACACTTTATAGTACTTTTTCGAGTGGCTCATGTTACCGATCTTTGACAATGAAGCATAAATTATAAGAATAACTAAAATTGAAGTTTTCGTACTGTATCATAATACTGACTGTTGAATCCTCTTGAATCTCACAACTTTTATATTACTATTTGACTAACTAAAATATGTCTACAAGAAAGGAATGTACAGAATGTCAAACCACTGAATCATCTAAATTCCGATCGGTGAATGGAAAAAAATAGAGAGAAGCCAAAAGTCAAAACTTAGTGAAGGTAACATGGGTAGAAGGTGTTGTTTTATGTAATACTTGTTATATGCGTTTTGTAGAGAATCCATTAAAAAGAGGTCCTAAACGAGTTAAAGTTACAACTGAGAAAGAAACAGAAGCTATAATTGAGGAAGAAGTAAGTTTGAAGATTGATCTCACTAAAGCTATTAAGTCCATAGCAAAAATTCTATACGATAGAGAATATGTGAAGAAAGAAGGTCCAATATACGGGTTTGATGAAATGCGAGAATTACTTCAAGAAAGTGAACTGAGCCTAAAGGATTTCTTTAATCAGCTTTATTCGGCAGCTCGGCCACGCGAACGTAATGAGTAAACGATGGATCGTATGAAAAGATTAATGGTTTTCATATGTTATTTTCTTGCTTCATTAAATAATACTAAAATTACTGTTTTTAAGTTTGATCTTGCGTATTATTTAGATTCGGTAGGTACGAGTAATGAAGGTCTAAATACGATGGCAAATTTTGGCATAACTACTATAGCAAGTGCAGTAGATCGTAGAAAGAAAAAAATATCAGATTTACATGGAAAATATGTAGAGAATGCCTTCGTAAAATATTCGGAAAAAGCTTTTGTGTTGAATATCGACGATTATCACAACATCCATGTTCAAAGGCGACCTGACACCACAAGTACATCTTGGGCGGCGCATATGGCAATGATTATAGTAAATCCATGCACCACACTGGCAATATTACGTAATAGGGTAATCAATCCAAAGATTGTTGATAATAAACTGATTGAAAAGCATCTTGATGAGCGGTTTATTATAAACCTCAGAATTTTATATCATAACCGAATTCATATGCGGGATTATGCAGGATATGAATGCTCTGATGATGAGCTTATAAATAGGCTAACATTACACAGTTACAACGACAGGTTAGCGGAGAAAAAGTGTGAGAGGCATATACAGAATACCATTCTCGTCGATTTTATTGAAAGCAATTTGAAAGGTGTAGATGATTATATGAGAACTCTTCAAATCGTTCACGATTAAGACCCAATGCGAGAATATCTTTTCAATCATGTAATACCAGTCATTGCAGACTGGCCTGGTCAGCTCTTTATTCGAAAAGCTATTGCACAACGGCTTCTTGTTAATAACGAAACCATTCCTCCGTTTGTTACGTCATTTGTGCCTATGATGGATCCTCTTCACGTGTCTTTAAATGGCCGTAAACTCATTTTTTTGAAAAATTCATTTTTATTCAATGATGTTTTTAAAGGCATATTTGGCACACGTAAGGATCTTGGTAAGAAACCTCGACCATGGAGAATCGATCTAATTCTCCACATCATACGCGTTGCATAGTTTGATATTGTTGATGTTGTTTATTTAAAATTCGGCCATATATGCAAGAACATTGAATTTTTGTATTTAATTGATCTTTTCAGCAATTTATTCCTTTAGTTCTCGACATTTATGCAGTGCACCATCAAGAAAGCAATTGGCCGGCTTATAAAGAAGCATGTATACGTTATTAGAGTAATCTTTTTCTTCGATTTGATCGAAGAAATTATAAGCGAGCTCCTTTAATGTTTTTCTCCGATATTTTTTATTGGATGAAAATTAATCATCCGATGATTAACTTGGTTACTAATAATCTTGCTTTGTTAAGTGATTGTCCTGTAGAAATCGTTTATAGCATCATTCGATGTCGCACCACTAAATTTATCATGGCTGAATAATTACGAAAGGAGGTGCGCTTTATTTTTCAGCATCGAGAGGATAATACTTTTCGACAGCATTTTGTGAACTCAGTG